CATGTAATTTTAATATATGTATTTTAAGCACTTATTAAAGTACATAATTTGAATAAATTAAATTACTATGGATTTGAAATTGAATTGATGTTAATTCTTCCAATTGAGGCATCTTTTTAAACATTTAGTAGACAATTTTTGTTGTTCATGTTATTACCTCTATTTCTCTCCCTCTATTTGAAGTGCTGTATCAAAACATCATAACCTTGCAATTTATTGAATAGGTGGTGTACAGAGCAACAAAAAATTATATTCTTTTAGGCCTCATCACCTCAAGACTCAAAAATATATCAACCAACAGTTCAATTGAATAAATTTAACTAGAAATTTCATCAATAATCACTCACAAATAGAAAGGACTAACAGAGTTAAGCACCTTGGTTGAAAACGAGTTCCATTGCTCCTCCATTCTTGAACAAAATATGGAGCCCAACCAACTAAACATATGAAGTTAGAAGTTAGAAGAGGTCCATACCTTTAAATAGAAGCACTAGTACAGTGCATCCTGATTAATTCTAAGAAAAGAGGAGCAAAGTGAAGGGAGGTGGCCAAGCAAATAGGCAAGTAGGGAAGGAGGTGCATTGACGCTGTGAGTTCATAACCATTCCTTTGCCTAATCCCTCATATCCATATAAGGAGAAGAGATTGCTTAATTCAAACTTGATTGGCAAGCTCATAAGTGTGCTCATCAAGATATAGATTTTAGATTTACATTCAAGAATTACATCTACCATAAAATTAAAAGAAAGAGAAGATCTATGCCAAAGAAGGAGAAAATGGCATTGATAAAAAATTACTGGTGGTTAATGGTAAAGTTTATTAGAGATTTCATCGAGGATCCTACTTAATTTGATTAAATATCAGAATTGAGAATTGAAATTTAAGGAGCAGGCAAGGTATTTTAAATGCTTGCAATTTTTATTTTGAAATACATAGCTCCAAATACATATGTTTAAAGCAAATTCAAATATACTCTTATTTAGTATAAACAAATAGTGTATTTAAATTTAGAGTCTCAAATTCAAATACACTTCGATCAAAGTTATGTCCCCAAAAAGAGCATAAAATAAAACCAACAACAAACACAAGAGCAAAAAAGTGAGAAAATGTATGGATAAGGATATGAATTTTGTCATTTTTTTTATTTAAGGATATAAACATTTTGAGTTATTAATTAGGTAATAAACTTTTAATTTTTTAGAATAAGGATAAGAATCTTGTATTTTTTCTATTTAAGGATTTTTTAGATGACAATGATGATGTAGAAAATGATAGTCTTAATTGAAATAGGGCAAAGTTTATAGCCTTAAATAAAAAATGGCAAATTTTGTATTCTTAAATAAAAAAAAAGGTGAAAGTTTATTGCCTAATTTAAAAACTCTAACCCTATATTTAGGTTGAGAAAACACCTGACTTGAAAATCCTAACCCTATATTTGGTTGGAATAGGGCAAAGTTTATATTTTTGAATAGGAAAATGGCAAATTTTGTATTCTTAAATAAAAAAATGTAGAAGCTTACCACCTAATTTAAAAACCCTAACCCTATATTTGGGTTGAGGGGAGGGGAGAGGAGACCTTTGCTTTATTTTTTCTTTTAATTGATTTACTTATCTAAAAGAAAGAAAGGGAGGAAAATGAAAAAATGTTGCAATTAATGGTAGTGTAGCCCTCACATCATTAAAGGTGGATTCTATGTTTTTAGGCTAGTGAGTCTTATTATTATTGTGATTGGACTTGATAAAGACATTAAGAATTTAAGTGGAAGAGATTGTAATAGCCTAAATCTCACATCAAATGAAACGGTGAGTGCGATTGGTATATAAATGTAAAAACCAATCACTACTGAGTGCGATTGGTATATAAATGTAAAAACCAATCACTACTAATAACTTGAGTTTAAACTTTTAAGAGTTTATAAATTTTAACTTGAAAAGTTGTTAAGTTATTAACGAGTTTTCTCCTTTATCATTTTATTTGGTATCAGAATAATCAACTCTCACAAATGAGTCCATGCTAACTATCATGATAGGTGATAGTGTAGACTTTACATCACTTGAGATGGAAAGATTATAATATTCTAAATCTCAGAACGAAATGAAAATGTGAGTTTGATTGGTATATAATTATAAAGATGAATAACTATTAATGACTTAAGATTAAACTTTCGATGACTCAAAGCCTTTGACATGAAAAGTTATTAAATCAATGATGGATTTTGACTTTTTGTACAAAGCAGAGGGACACCTGTTGGCAACTATAAGCCCCATCTTAGTGGA